CCTCCAACTTGGGAGGGGTGGAGGTTATGAAGGAAGCAGGATGGGGCCAATCCAAAAAGGCAAAATGGACTTGTGCTAGAGGGTAAAGAGGGGCCTCAGAAGCACACAAGGTACAACCCAGCTCACCAGGGTAGAAGACACCACTGGGAGCTGAAGTCGCAGCTAATAAGGAAGAGCATGTGATTTGTCTGCGGTGCACCTTGAACACTTTTTAGGGGTGGCAACAGCCACATCAGGTGGCCAGGAGGGACCCCGGTCTTCTTTTTTCAGTATGACATTCCCAGGCTTCTTTTCCTAGCCCTCTCTAGTTGTAAAGTCTAAATAGGTGCTTCCAAAGTTGATTTTCTAATCAAAGCTTTAAACAAAAACAAAAAAAAATATCACTGCATCCAGATTTTATATGATTGCCTCCATAAAATAAACCAGGCACATTTCCTTGATGCGAGGCCAAAGTGCAGATTGTACTAGGACAATATGCCGCTATTATGCTCTCCCTTATAACCAAAAGTATGGAAAATAAAGACTATCACAAATGTCTCACTGCCTTAGTCACTTCCTAAGTATGCAGAAGCACCCAACGAAAAAACGTCCCAGGGGATCATGGTCCCTGGATGGATTTTAAAGGAAATGGGATATTCTTCTATTCTGGGGAAAAAAACACCTGACAGAAAAGAATATGCTCTGGAGTAGATGGAAATGAAGTGCTCTTGTAGTACAGCGCTTGAAGAAGGAAATGTGATAAAGGACATCATCCTATTCAGGCTATCATAACCTAGCATAAGGTAGAGTTCTAAAATGTTTTCAATCTCATTTCTCTACTCGGGGGGTCCATCAGAACCGCTAGAAGCATTTAAAATATACAGGTATCTGGACCTTCCAGCCTAGATCTACTGAACCAGAATCTCTGTGGTAAGGCTCAGATAGCCTTTTTTTTTTTAAAGTTCCCCAGATGATTCTAATGTACACACCTGGTTAAAAACCATCATATAAAATGATGAAAACTATTCTTCAATCAAGAAAACTACAAGTAGACTGTGGACACTCAGGCGTCAGTTTCCTCACTGAAATGAGATGGCTGAACTAGATTAGTAGTGGAACTGGGGAATTCCCTGGTGGTCCAATGGTTAGGACTCTGTGCTTTCACTGCCGAGGGCATGGGCTTGATCTCTGGTCATGGAACTAAGATCCCACAAGCCATGTGGAGTGGCCAAATTAAAAATAATCATAATCATAATCATAATAGTGAAACTGAATTAGTGGTAGCAAGGGGATGTTAGCCAAGATACCCTCTTTAAAAAAGGGAATTTTACTGCGGAAACCCAATATTAAAAGCAGAAAAGCTTTTGACAGGGGGAGGAAGCCCTTTTCTCTCACCCCTAGGTCACCCCAACAAAGACACCAAGACTCCACAGAGCCCAAGATGGTCTCTCATACTAGCTACAGCTTTCAAATTGTTTACCTTCCAAAACTAGATCTAGTCCCTAATTTAAGTAGCAGAGGACTTAATATTTTTGTTCACGGGATCCTTACAAACTTTGTATGAGAAACATCCCCCTTTCTACTAACACATTCACCTCCTTCGGTCTAAACTTCCATTTAGAAAAACAAGTGTTATTACCATTCTCTCCACCTAAATCATCACTAATCTCCTCACAACCCTCTCCCAATCTAATGGAAGGGCTTTAAGCTCAGAAAAGAAGCCCGGATTCAAGAAGATGCACCAAATGCATGTTAGTGGTATCCCCAGGAATGCAAAGGAGAATGGGACCAGGGAGGTGCACAAAGGGGACTCCAACTGTGTCTTTTGAGAGAAAAGGGAAAAAATCTGAAGGGTTAACATTTGCTAGTTTTGGAATACATGGATGTTTATTGTATTGTTCTCTGGACTTTCCTGTAGCGTTTAAGATTTTCAAAACTAAAAAGACAAAACAAGACAAAAAACACTCTTGATTACTAGCACCATTTGAAACATCCTTGATTTTCATTAGACTTTAACCACAAAATCTCTCATTATCCCTTGCTGGCCTTTTCCACCAAAGCTCACTCATAGGGGGCTTCCCTGGTGGTGCAGTGGTTGAAAGTCCACCTGCCGATGTAGGGGACATGGGTTCATGCCCTGGTCCGGGAGGATCCCACATGCCTCGGAGCAGCTGGGCCCGTGGGCCATGGCCGCTGGGCCTGTGCGTCGGAGCCTGTGCTCCGCAACGGGAGAGGCCACAACAGTGAGAGGCCCACGTACCGCAAAAAAAAAAAAAAAAAAAGCTCACTTATAGGATACATGATCTGTAATTACATCTATCTACCCTGGGACTTTGCAAAGAAACACAAGCACCAGAACAAAAGAAATGAACTACTGATAGCAAATCAACACTCTAAGAATAAGACCACAAGGTCTTCGAGCATCTGAAAAAAGAAAACAGCAGTTGTACATTTACTTCACAAAGAATGCAGAGGACGCTGCCTTTGGTAAACAGACTTTGAATATTGCCAAATGCATGGACCCATACCCAGAGCACTACCAAGCGGAGAATGGACCCAATTCATATATAAATCAAAACCAGTGAATAACTGGTGAAATATTAAGGCCAAAAACTTCAAACCTTAAAATTGCTTTTCTTCCCTATAGCTGGTTGTGCCCAAAACATGCACCATAAGCATAAAACTGAACAACACAAATCTGGAAATTTTTCAGTATACGTAGGTGCCCATCAGACTGTTTCATGATAAACTGCCATCAAGGCTACTTGCTCCCATGAAAAAAATATCCTACCTGTACTTACTTATTCCTTCAAACTACCTGCCTCTCACAGTCACACCTACAACATACTCAGAGATCTTTATCTTTGTTCACACCAGATCAGCTCCCTTCTCCCAATCTTCTCTCCAGCCAACCTTTACCTCTTTGCTTCTTCCAAATGACAAAGGTACTCATAAGCCACATTCTGACGTCTCCTTTCATCCATCTCCTCTGCAGTAAGTCTCTCATTATCCAGGACCGCTAAAACATGAAAGAAAGAATGTAAGCGCAAGAATCTGTACCCTTCCTGAGAGATAAAAGAATGCCATAGCATCAAATTCCTGCTAGTCACCTAGAGAGTCAGGGTAACATGTGGACAGCCAGTGGTACTATCAATACAATGACTTTCCTAAGACAGGAACCATGGGGTTTCAACTATATTCATCCTAATCTTTGTTTAAAAGTACAATATTATGAACATGTACTAAATTTCAGTGTGACTTGAAAAATACTGACTTGAGATTCTGGTCCAAATTTGTGCTGGTCTATCTGCCAAACTCTCTCTAAATCCAGAGCTGTTCATGGTCTTTTTTTTCCCACTCTTTTATGAATCACTAAAGCCAGCAGTCATTGAGAACTAAGTGGCAGTAATTGTACTATGCATTTTACATGCATTCTTTCATGGAAGTCCCACAACAATCCTGTGATTATCACTCCTGTTTTACAAATGAGGAAACTGAGGCTGGTTGACCTTTGCCCCACAGCTAATAAATAAATGATGGGGCCTGGATTCAAATCCAGGCAGTCTGTCTCAAGAGCCTATAAGATTAACTTCAAAGCAATCTGCTTCCTTTAATGGGCACCCAGGATATGGAATAAATTCCTAACTCCTGCGGTTGGCATTCAATGCCTTTCCCAATTTAGCCCCAACTACTTTTGGTAACTCTTCTCCCTCTCCCTCCTCCCCCTCCCACCACTGTGCACTCCACACCACTCAGTTCCCAACACACACAGTGCTCTTCTACTCTTCAGTACCTTAGTTCCTGCTCTTCTCTCCACGTCCTGTCTCTTGCCCCACCCTACCCTGTCAAACTACACAGCATCCTGCAAGGCTCTGATCAAAGGTCCTATCTGTGTTCCTACTGCCTTCCCCAAGCCCCTCCTTCTCACCCACATTACTGTTTAAGCCTAGTTAGTTCACACGGCATCTTTATTTCTATCCCTTCTTATTATCATTAGATAATACACCTGCCCGCCTCTCTGATTAAAACGTTCTTTGAAAGCGGGACCTGCTCTTACTAATCTTTAATGTCACAAACGTGACACAATACCTCGCATGTAACTGCTCAGTGAAATTATCCTAAAACATAACATCATTCGCAAGAATATAAAATAAAACGGAAAACCTCAAGACTCTCAAGGACTCTCCTTTGGCCAGTGGTAACTATCCCGCCTGCAGTTCAGTGATGTCCCAGGACAGGGACAGAAAATGAGGTTCGGAAAATGAGGAAGTCAGAGGTTTGGGTTTTTTTTTTTTTTTTTTTTTTTCACTTTTGAGATCCTGACGAGGGAACTAAGCCCGAGAAAGCTGAAGTGACTTGTCCAGGGCCGCACCTCTCAGCTAGCCTAGGGCCGGGGAGGTCTGGACCCTGGGTCTACCTCGCAGGCAGCACTCGGGCAGCACCTTCCCAGGAAGCCCGAACAGAGCCCGCGTCTCGGGTCTCCGGTCCCCGGGACACGCCCTGCACCGTCCTCCTGCCACCTCACCCTAGGCCGTCTCCCCAATCTCGGTCGAGCTGGGAGTCGGGAGGCGCTGGGTGAGGCCCTCCAGCCGCCGCGCCCGGGACAAGGCGGGGAGGCCGCCTGGGTCCTCCCCGCCGCCTCGGAGACCGAGAGGGCGAGGGCTGCGGGCCTCGCCGCCCGCCACCTCGCCGCACTGGCTCTTCCGGGTCCGCGCGGCCCACAGCAGCCCTGCCCCACCCGCCCGGCGAGCCCCTGGGAAAACGGCGCCTCAGAGGCAGCGAGCCCGCCCCGAGACCCCAGTGCCGCGGAGCCCACACTCACAGCCATAGTGTGGCCGAGCCACACCCAGTCCGTCAACCTCGTCCGCTGCGGACATGGCGGCCGAGCCCGGGTCTCTGCTCAGGAAGCCGCAAAACCTTGGAAGCGCAGGCGGCGGCGGCTGCAGCCCCTGCAGACTGCTCGAGCTGCCCCGGTCCCTGTGGCCCCGCCCCGCGCCGCAGGCCCCACCCTCAGACCCCACCCCAGCGGCCCCGCCCTGCCGCGCCGACCGCAGCGGACGGAAGGAGGCGGGGCCTGGGCCTCCTGACCCCGCCCCTAGCCCCGCCCTGCGCCCGGAACGCCCTCAGGAGGCGGAAGAAGGAAGGCGGAGCCTGCCCGCCAGTTGTACTCGCTGTCAGCGCCGCCCGACGGCAAGACCCGCCCCGGTCCTGGATACTTGCCCTAGCCGGCGGCCGTCCCATTCGCACCTCTTCGCAAAGACCGCCAGTGTCCGTAGCTTGGAGTAAAAAACGTGGGCACTTTACCTTCCCCTGCCTGCCTAGCCAAACTCTTCTGCACCAAAGGGCTCAAGAAAGGCCTCTTTTGAAGTGGCCCAGTGTGTTCTTGCGGGCACATGCAGGACCCAAACTCCCGTAAGGGGCCGCACAGCCTGGCAATCTGGACGCAGCCTTCTCCCGGATTCGCCAGCAGTCGCCAGAGTTGAACTGCTTAACCCCGCTAGCATTTGAGAAGTGGATATGCTAAAGCAGGAGAATTGTGTTTGTCCAAACTTCCTTCCCTTAGATTCCTTGCCACTATTCTTTGCAAGTTCTTCTTTTTAGAGGACTCTTTGCCCCTTTTAGGGATGCGTCTTCCCCTTGCAACTTGTGGCCTGCCCTTAACATATTGGTACTCAATGGAATTCCGTCCTCAGCCGTCTTCCGTTTTTTCTTTGCCCACTCTTTCTGAATAACTTTATCCACGCTCACCTTAAACTGCTGAAGAGCCCTAAATATATATCTCAGACCAGACTTTCTAGAAGCCCCAACTCATTATTTTCAGCCGTGTAATGGACATTTTAAACCTGTGAATCCCGCAGACACTTTAAAGTTAACGTGTCGAACACTGACCCTGTTCCCGTTATTATCCTATTAATAGTGCTCAGTTCCTCACGCCCTACATGCAATTGGTATTATTACTGAAGTGTCTAGCTTTTGTGTCTGTCTCCACTGTGATTACATCATCTCCGTTCTCCCTCTGCCAAACAACTCCCTGCAGTCACCCGCGTGTTCTTTCTAAAGTGCAGATACGGTCGTGTTCTTCCTTTTCAAAGTCTTTTCCTAATATTTCCTTCAGGATATGGTCCAAATTCCTTACCATGCCAAATAAGCCACTTCACAACCTGACTCCAGGCTGTTTGCTCTAGCAATTTTCAGTTTATCCATTCTTCCTTCAAAATAGTAAAGTGAAATACTTGAAAATCTGTAAAAACAAAACACCCCCATTAAAAAATGGTCAAAGATTTGTTACAAATTCAGAAATTAGTTCTTTCTTAAGCTTTTAAGTTTAGCTTGCAAATTTTATTATTCTATTTATAAGTCTAGCATATTTTACCAATCACTTTGCAGAAACTTAGAATAATTTTTGGTCCCATTCACAAACTTAGTTAATTCAACATCTTCCGACATTTAAAATTGTCTGTAAACTTAATCTATTAGATTTTCTTTTTAATGTCTTCAGGTGTTTAGCCTAGAATCTTCTCAAGGCTTAGTAATCCTTACAAATCAAATATACTTACAAATATAATGAATTTAAAGTTTTCTTAGATGACCCAGTTCCATGTGTAAGCAGTAAAATTTCAACTCAAACCTTAAGTCTAAAACTAACTCAATTATACATTTAAAATAAGAGTCATAAGACCATCACTCTAATAAGCCAAATTTTCTTAAACATTGCAAGTGCCTAAAAAGTGAAATATGCACATATTTCTTCTAAACCCCAACATATTAATCACATAGTTTTTACCCCCATTAAAGCCTTTTTGTGCTTAATTCTAAAGCTTCTGAGTTGAAACACACAGAACTGCTAAGAAAGACAGTTTCAGCCTAGTTAATTAAGATTACTTTTGATCAGACTTTTTTTGTTTGTTTGTGTCATTCCCCCACCACCACTCCACACCGAGCGGCTTGTGCGATCTCAGTTCCCTGACCAGTGAGAGCGCTGAGTCCTAACCGCTGGACCACCAGTGAATTCCCTGATCAGAGGTTTTCTACCAAACATAAGTTCTGGAGCTACAGACTTTCAGAGCCATTCTTCTCACTATGCCAACTGATATTTTGAGCCCCTTTTAAAATTCTGTTATGGACTTCAAAACTCATTACCTCATCCTCTGACTACTCTTAGAAATCTGCAAATCCTACCCAGTTTATCTTTGGATTTTATTTTATATTTCTTGGCTTTTAAGATATATACATGTTTTTATTTTAATTCTAAAGACCTTTGTAATGGATGAAATTCAAATGTGTAAATGCGTTTCCTCTCTAATCATAAAGGTTATGAAACTAATGGGCTCTTGCATTCTTTCTTATTCCTAGAACCATACAATTCTAACAGGTATTTAAACTAATATCCCATTGAGTTTCAGATATCTCAAATAGCTTTATCTGATTGTCACAAGTTAAGTCATTCTTCATAACTATAATAACTGAAATGTACTGAGGCTTTACTGGACTCTGTGTTTTGTATTTATTTTCTAATCTGAGCCTTATAATAATCCAACAAAGAACTATTATTATCTCCAATTTACAGATGAGAAAATGGAGAACTACATAACTCAACTGAAGCCACACAGCAAGAGGCAGAGCTGGAACTCAAACCCAGGTCTGTCTAGTGACAAAACCCACATGCCTGGTCAATAAATACAAGTTTCATAGAAATTCACATTAAGGTCATAACTGACATCAGAGTAGCAATGTTTTCTTTTGTTTTTTTAATTGATACTATTGGCAAAGGGGTGAAAAAGCAACCTTTCTCACGCACTGCTGGTTTGGCTATAAACTGATATAACCTTTCTGAAGTCCAACTTTGTGTTATGCAGTCATCCTTCAAACAACAAATTTTACTTCTTGGAATATATCGTAAAGAAGTTATTTTTTAGTGTGCAAAAATTAGTGATGAAGATGCTCTTTGGAAATGTCTTAAATGCCTGCCACTGGGTTGTTTTTCTTTGTTTCTTTGTTTTTTACTCAGTGATGGCAACTCCACACAATGGAATTCTATACAGCCATAAAAGTCATGATTTGTGGTTCTGGTCAGGCTTGAATGGCTACAAGGAATAGAGACCCACTTTTCTTTTTCTTTCTTTTTTTTTTTTTTTTTGCTGCCCCGCACGGCATGGGGGATCTTAGTTCCCCCACCAGGGAAAGAACCTGTGCCCCCTATAGTGGAAGAGTGGACTCCTAACCACTGGATAGCCAGGGAATTCCAGAGACCCACTTTTTTACCTCTAGAGGAAAATAGGCTGGAAGGGAGGTATTTATAATAAAGCTATATATGGACTAGAACTGGAGCAAGAAAAAACAGGACTAACAGAAGCCTGAAGGCATGGCTCTGTCCCTCTGGGCATCTCGGCTTCTCCACAGGTCTAATCTACCCTCCTCTCTTTGACAACCAGCTTCCTCCATTCTAATATTTTGTGCTCCCTCACAACTCTGCCTTCTATTTGGTGGAAGGCCATGGTATCCTTACACCATCAGCTCCATCGAGGATATCAGTTGCCCAATTTCATAATCCAGTGGCATCTGATTGGATTAGCTCATCTTTCCACCCCATGAGTATGTCTCTGACCACCTACAGGTGGGCTGTTCTTGGATCAGATGCCAATCCTTTAGTTCAATTAGCTGGGGTCAGGGAATCAATCAGTTAAGAATAGAAAACTGTGAGCTGGCATTATTTCCTTCAATGGGAGACTGGGTAGGCAAACAATGATCAGTATTTTAAATGTGATGGTTAAGTGAAAATAACATTATGAACTAATAAATATATTATGATATCACTTTTGCTTTAAAAATATAGATAGATATAGATGTACATATAAATAGAAAAAAGGCTTGAAGCACATACACCAGTATAGTAACAGTGGTTTCTCCAAATGGGGAATTACAATGGATTTGTGGCTTTGTGTGTGGGATTTGTTTATTTGCTTCTTTATATTTACCAAACTTTCTAAATGAGCTACTCAAAATATTATTTTGTCAGTAAGTATATATATGAATAAAGTTAGTAAATATGAAATGAATAAATAAACAAAAATTAAATGGCAAAATAATGAGCTAATGGGTCGCTTTGGAGATAGAATTGGTTCATGACCTCAACGAACTTACAGATTCATGGGAGTGGAGCAATATTAACAGAATAGCTTCAGATAAGCACCATAATAGAGATTTCTCTTGGCCTGGGATACCTTTTAGCCTCTTATCTGCCTGGGAAACTCCTACTCAACTTCCCAGACTCAACTCAAATGTCACCTCCTCCCCAAGCAAAATTAACCACTTCCTCATTTATTTTCCATAACACTTAAAAGCATATGTCTTCCAAAAAAATGTCCCAATTCACATTTTTAATACTTCTGAAATCAGGATAGTCTTACAACCAGTAATAAAAGAAACTAGCCAGGGCTTCCCTGGTGGCGCAGTGGTTGAGAGTCCCCCTGCCGATGCAGGGGGACGCGGGTTCGTGCTCCGGTCCGGGAGGATCCTACATGCCACGGAGCGGCTGGGCCCGTGAGCCATGGCCGCTGAGCCTGTGCGTCCGGAGCCCGTGCGTCCGGAGCCTGTGCTCCGCAGCGGGAGAGGCCACGGCAGTGAGAGGCCCGCGTACCGCAAAAAAAAAAAACAACAACTAGCCAGCTGCTAGGTAGAGAAGTAGTTGGGAAAGTACCATAATTGTCATTGTAGATGTGTTAATTTAACTAATTTCTCAGAAAAGATCAGAGAATTTTCAGAGCTGGAATCCATGACGGATTCATGCTTTAGGAATGGCTAAGTGGATCCAAATAGAGTTAGACTCTTCACAAAAAGCTTGGCTCCAACTTTGATTTAGAGAAGAGGCTAGTAAGTAATCCCAGTGATAAATGTACGCTACTGTCAATCAAGTTTTTTAAAACATATACATTTGATAAGATATTCTCAATGTCCCAAAAAGCTGTTGGAATTTGATGGTGTACCACACAGTCAAAAGTATCTTAAATTCCAGGAAGTGTGTACCTTTATATGGCTCTATTATAGCACTTAACTCATAGAATTACAATTAGTTATTTACCTGTCAATCTTCCCAGAGAGATCATTAACTTCTCAAAGACAGAAATTTGGGTAAATAAACCCCATGTGAATAGTTAACAAATGTAGCATCCTTACTGTTGGAGTTTTAAGATTTGCTTTTTATATAGTTCATATAGAAAATTTCCAGAAGGATGGATTCCTTAGGACAGATGGCAACACTTTGGACTGCTTTGGTTCTTTGTCTTGTATGAATACATGTAGGGCTTTTGATACATATAGCCTCTTTTATAAAAGGCTGGAAAATCTGAGGTTATAGCTTCTCATCACTCTTAAAGATCAAATGTTAAGGAATTAATTTGAGGGATAGCTTTTCAGGAGGTTGTAGCTATGCTGGGGTAGGCAGAATTTTAAGATGATGCCCAAAATTCCATGCTTGGTTATCCATTCAAACACTAATCTAGGTAATGTTTTGAAGGGCTCTTGCTGGTGTAATTAAGGTTACTAATCAGCTGATCTTAAGGTAGGGAGATTATCCAGGTAATCACGTGAGCCCTTTAAAAGCAGAGAGTTTCTTTAGGTGGTAGCAGAAGAAGTCAAAGAGGCTCAAAGTACAGGAAGGATTTGATGGGCAATTGACAGTTTTAAAGACGGAGGGGGACACATGGAAAGGACCTGAGAGCAGCCTTGAAGAGCTGAGAGTGACCCCTGACCAGCAGCCAGCAAGGAAACAAGGACTTCAGATCTACAAATGCAAGGAACTTTGACTCTGTCAACAATTTAAATGAGCTTGGGAGCAGATTCTTCCCCAGATCCTCAAGATAACAGCCCAGTTCAGAGAACGTTTTTACTTTGGTCTTAAAAGACTTGAGCAAAAAATCCAGTCAAGCTTGCTCAGACTTCAATAGAAAACTAATACATATGTCCTAGGACATTTGGGTGTATGGAGAGGGGAATAAGGTTGTTCAAAGGTAGTATTGCCAAATATGCTGATGATAAAATTTTGCATTAGAAGAACTATGAGCTAGCTGGGCACTCTGCTCCGCTCTGACAAGTCTGTCTCCATATATTCAATGAGTCTTTTGAGCAGAAGTAGCTACAGGACTACATGGCTGGTGGTTGGTTGAATCCCTGGATGCTGAGGAACCACGGATACTGAGGGCTGACTATATATTACATGAAGATTAATCTAGGAGTTGTTCAAGG